TATTATATTATATTATATTATATTATATTATATTATATTATATTATATATTTTCACGGCTTTGCCGATATGCTAAGTGGTTGACTCCGAGCGGCTGTGTTTAAAAAACTTAAAATGGAGGCTAGAAGGAAAAGTCCACATCTGGAATCATAAATTAAAACAATAGGAAAACAGATGCGGTTAGAAAAAGCCATGTGAAGGGTGTAAGAGAACATACTGCCACTGTACTGGAATCCGGTGCCAACTGAATGATAACGCTTGAAGCACTCGTCCATGGAATCGAAATCTGCTGAAAGTGGTCCTTGACCGATTTGGAAGAATAACGAGAAAGAAATGACCATTGTGTACAGCGAGAAGTTTTAGTGTGCTATTACCTTTGAAGAACTGAAGAAGCAAGTAAATTCTGTCATCACCAGTATTGCAAGTTGTCCGTGCTCATAGAAGAGAATTCTGAAGGAGTCAACGAAGCGTGTCAAGACAGAAGACACGAACTTCGAGTAAAACACGTTACACGACGGCTGGCATAGGAAAGAAGGTGAGCTTGTTAAATTTCCACAAAACTTTCTTAGAATCGACTTTGGCTGATGAAAAACTTGGAGGTAAGGACCTAAGGGAGGGCGAGAAGTGCATGAGGAGAATGAATCTTATACTTGCTCTCAAACGTGATAGTCATGAAACTTTAAGCATGCTGTCAGAGCGTGTGAGAGTTTACGAAAGTAAAATTAGAAGTTATGAATCTCTATGTACATTTGAAATTGAAAACGTCAAACTGTTCAGAAGGCGGTTCTACAGTAATCTGACCAAAGAAAAGCCTGTGTGCTCTATAGGGACAGAAAAAAAATCAGGAATTTTCGAGGTACGATGTGGAACTCGGAGATAGGGATAAATAACAATATCCATCACAACGAATATCTCGAAGAATTCGTTCCAGATCATGAAATGCATGATACATTCCTATCTGAAGCTGAATTTTGGAAGGTGGTTTTCTATTTGCCTATATTGGAAGACAACGGGCTCTGATGGAGTCCATACTTCTTCATTAAGAAGTGTACCTCTCTACGTCTAAATCTATACAAAATAACGAGGCGAATTTGTTTCAGATGGATAGAAACAAAACCTATGGTACTACAAAGGAATTACCTGCCTGACTCCAAAAGGTGTCCCAAGTAAAGGCAGCGACTTTAGGCCAAAAACTTGTATGTCAAACCCTTACAAGTTGACAACGAAATGTGTGGCACGTGTATGCAGTTAGATGTTGCCATGAGAAAGATACTTGCAGATAATCAATTAGGAACTGTTATCCAGGTTCAAGGTGCAAAGGAACATGCACCTGTTGAACTCGATGGTTTGCAGAGAACATGGGAACCAGTTGTATACTCCGTGGTATGACAATAAAAAGGCGTTTGATATAGTTAATCACTAAAGCCTAATTAAATGTACTGAAAACCTTGACATATGTGGATGAATAGGTTTATGAGAAACATTACACTAGATGAACAGTTGTACTCGAAATAAGTGGAAAAACTAAAATGTGCCAACATTATAGGAACGTGTGAAGAAGATGGATCATCTATCCACCAAGCATTGCGAGAAAATGTTATATCCACATTGTCTATACTAGAAGACACAACTTGTGATGCATCCATTTGAGACTCCGCAAGATGTATGGTCTGAAATCACTCTTACGCATGTGAAGCCATTCTTTTTAGGAGGACGTCAAAGATAGGAGTTGATGAGCGAGTCAGGATAGCTACAAAGATAAGTGCGGATTGATCAGATATCATTATCCACTATAAGAAGCAATGCGAAGTAATCCTGATAGAGGTTAATGTTATTAGTTAGGACAGGTTGGCCGCAGTCGAGACCGAGAAGAGGCGAAAATATGCCATACTCACTAATAAAATCGGGACAGAGATGAAATGTAGATCGAAAATAATCCGTAAGTGATGTCGAATGGGACTGTAACGAACTTCCAGAAACACTACGTGAAAGAAATCAGTAAATCTGATAACTGTAACATAAATCCAGGCAATACTGTTCAAGAAGATGCTTGAAAAGATCTCATCCGATTTCTGCTATGGATTCCACGAGGACAAAACGAAAACGATAAGCACAACAAATCTGAGCGCGGGACGAGTACAGCCAGAGTGCCGGAATACAGTCCAGCTCTAGAATCAATAGAACGGTTTCAGGAGACTAATCTCTGTTTTTTCTTATATTTATTTATTTATTTACTTATTTACTTATTTATTCATATATATATAAGCCAAATATTTTCCTGCCAGCCATGAATCCTTCCAACAATGAAATGTTGTTATATTTGCATGCATTGGCAAATGCGATTTACAGCTCTTAGCAAATAAATAAGTAATTAAATGAATAAACTTTTGTTAATTATTGAATTTGCCAACAATTTTCTGCTTCTAATTACGTTCATTATTTTAAACAGAATTATCGCTCCTTTCATACAAGAAATAAATGATGAAAAAATATACAAGAATTAAGGAAAAGTCTTAAGCAAATATGAAATTAAAATTTCAAGGTTATATTAAACTATTATCAAAATTTCTTTGAACTATATTTATAATAGGAGAAGATGAACATAGATATCTTTTGCAAATAGTAAATAATATAGAATTATTGATAGCGAAAAAAAAGTTGAAAGTTGTTTTCAAGAAGAGCATGAATCAGTTGAAATTTTGAATATTATTTTTGAATGATATAAAATTATTGCTTCTGAATGACTGCATGAATGGATATTGGCCATGAAAAAATTTCAACTAATAGTTTTTGTATTTCTTTTCAATTGAAAGGAGATAACAGAAAAAGAATAAAGAAGAGGTCAACTGCTCCGAAATTAAGAATTTTATTAAATGTGAGTAATGAAAAAAACTTTATCAAATTTAGAAAACAAAATTTTCTACCGAATGGACATGCATCTTTAAATATTTTCCTTATAAAAGTTAAATTAATCTTCAATCGATACCTTATTCATTAATTAACTAACTACTATATATTATGAGATGATATACTACTTGGTTTCAAACACTTCAATTTAAAATTTTAATCAAATATTTAGCTCTATCATCAGGTCTTCCAAACATAACAACATAAAGTTGAAATAAATTCAAGCAAACTAATCATTTAGCCTGATTTTAGGAGAGTATGTTTTAAAAAACTGAGCAGATATACTGTATTATAGAATATAAAATGCAAACTGCTTCCTTTTACGAAGGAAATCAGTGCTTTAGATTGTACAGTAATCGAAGAAATACAATCATTCAGTCAATCAATCAATTAATTAATCAAACAAAAGAAGTACGAAGAAAATAATTAATTGATAGATAATACTACTTGTCTAACAAATAAAGAAGTTGTATGGCGCGCAATCAAATTTTGCTTGTATAAATTGAAATATGTTACTATTTCATTTCAAGTTATTTTCAATTTAGCATATTATCTATTCAAAGGCACAAATTATATCTATTATAGCTATCAGATTGTCTTATTTTTATTTACAAATTCAAACTATCTGTAATCTATTGCAGTATGTGCAAAAGAACTTTGATATTTTCTACTTAATTATTTATTAATTCATCAGTGCTACAATTTTATTCCTTCCTGATCACTGCATAATTACTCCTTGCGAGAAAAAAACTGACTACAATTAAAATAAATGCATTCTCACATGAAATTACCATTTACAATAGTTTTTTTCTTTCATCTCTTTTTATTAAAACTTTTTTTGTCAAAATATAAATGAAGTGAAATTAATATGCAATGTATTTTATTTTTAAAAAAAGACAAAAACGATTAATCAAAAGATCAAACCTATTAAAGCCAAGAAAGAAATTTTGTTTCCAAGCTGATTCAAGCATTGTATATCCAGAAGCAGTTAGTCGTTCGTGAAAGAGACATTTCTCGTCTGCTGTATTATTCTAAAATGTATAAAATGTATGCATGAATTTCATTTCCAAGCAGTTAATTATTGCTCTTTGTAATTTTGCACTACCAAATCCTTGCTTGAAAAGTTTTTTTTTTATAAGAATTTTGCCAGACACTTTCAAATACTTGAGTAAATAATTACATTGTCGCTAATTTGTTATTACTTTACTGGGAAATTAAAAACCTAGCATGCAGTAATTGTGGATGCAATATTGATGTGATGAAAAAGAAAAATACGCACAGTTCAATCTTCACCAACAGTATTTCAAGTGTTTAACTATTGTAAGAAAGGCATATTGTATAAGATAAACTTGCTTATCAGAATCAGAATTACCTTCAACTTGCTACATCTTCAGTACTTTGAAATGTGAAATGTGAAGATTCTGAATTATAAATGATTATGTGTAATAATTCATTTTGATTGTTTGGACTCAGAAAATTAATTTTTTATAAATATCTTAAAATATAAAATGAGATTTTTGTATCGAATATTTTGCAAATTTGTTGACTTTCTCATTATATTTTTTCAACATTTCTCATATCACAGAGACATGTCTGAGATTTTGAACAAAAAAGAAGCAAAATGTAACAGTACATGAGAAAATGAAAGTAAGAAGTCCTTCCCATTGATAATAATCCTCATATAATGACAATAATAACAGTAATAATCACAGTTTTAATAGCAAAAACTGATTTATTAAACAATAACAGGTAAGAGTGTCATTTCTCTTTGGACGTCGATTACAGTTAGCCATTTCACCACTTGCCTTTTCCCCAAATTTCACTTTTTTCAAATTTTGATTATAAAAAGAATAATTTGTACAACTTTCGCATCTAATGATAAAAATAATCATGCAAAAAAATGCAAAAAAAAAAAAAAGAAAAATTGCCTTTAGTTACGAAAAACGCGAAAATATTACATCTGAACAATTTGCTAATTTATGCCGTGATGAGTGATAAAAACATTATTTACATCTCTTATTATTATTACAGTTTAAGCGTATTTTTACAATTTGTACATTGCATTTGCAACAAAAAATACCTTCGTTGTTTTGCATGAAGCTGTTGAATTACTATAATTTAATAAGCTTACAAATGGTTTTTAAGAACAAATACAAAATTAAATTTAGCTTTGCACAAAATTGTTAATTAAGTATTATACACAAAATTGTTAATCAAATATTAATACATTTCTTCGGAACATATTTTTACAAAATTTTTTCAGTCCTTTACAATTTTTGGGTAGTTTTTATTAGAAATAGTTCGCATAAAAAATTGTCTTTCACTTTTCATTTTCGTATTTTTAAATTTATATAGTGTTTATCTGTCTTCCTCCTTTTTTACAGTAAAGCCTTTCTAAATTTGAAGAACATATTTATGTAGAAAAGACTTTGAAAATAATTCCAAAATCAGTTAACAGCTTTGATACGGTATTAGGTTCAAATTAAACGATCAAAGTTAAAGTTCTTTAAGCACTTACTCGAATTGAAATTCGTCCCCGTTTATTGAAGCAAACTAATTTGCCAGTCACAGCATTTTTCATTTGAACACGTCCTTTATTATCCATTTCGATTAAAAAATCAGCTGGAAAAAGCAAAAAATTGTTACCTTTGTCACTTTTATACAATTATAAAAACGTTTAGAAGACAAAACTTCCAAAAGAGAATGTTATTTTTTTGAAGCATGAGAAAAAAATCAGAATGTCAGGTCAGCAAAGAAAAAGTATTGTTTACTAAATCAAATTTGACAAGTTTAAAAGGTTGAACAAACTTAAGCAATGATTGAGTTGTCGTCCTCTAGCATTGGCATGTTTCGAAAAAATTTGTACAAAAGCAGAGCTACAATGGCTGTAAAGTTGCCAGACGGTGACTGCTTCAGAAGTCAAAATCATATTTGTTACTTGAGAAATTGTTAAGAGTCTACAAATATTAATTAAGTATTAGTACATTTCACTGGAACATATTTTTGCAAATTTTTTTAGTCCTTTACAATTTTTGGGTAATGTTTTCAGGTTAAAATTTATATTCTGGATTTCTTTTAAGAAAAAGTATTCCAGATTGAGGGTGTAAGCTGCTGATCTATTTTCATTCAAGTTTCTTAGTGAAAGATAACTTTCCAAAACAATCAAGCTTGCAATGAAGAGGAGCTTTATTGAGATCTTGAAAACTTGAAAGTGAAAATAAGACTGAAACAATTTTGAGCATTTCATATTGTATTCAAAGATTTTCATTTTGGGCTGACTCCTTTTACTTAATTTTAACCATATTTTGAACTAAGGAATGATACTTTTACTAGAGAAAATTTTAAATAAATCAGGTAAACGATAAAAAGGTGGATATTGTACATTATATGAATAAAGTTAGATGTCATCAATATAAAAAAAATCCGCTATATTATTTGTTCTAGTTTAAATATAGCAATAAATTTGGAATTTTAAATTAAACAAATATATGTAATATTATAAAATACAAAATCAAAATGTTTAATCAGAACTGAAACGAAAATCCACCGTATTTGTAACCAATGAGAAAGAAGTTTACGATCTAATGGTTCACCGACAAACATAGTTTTTAGATTTTATTAGAAATATTTTTTGTAATCACTCCTTTGTACATTAACTTTTGCAACATTATTTGATTTACTTTATCGATGAAAAATTCATCAACACTTTTTTAAACTCCGTTGACTTGTTGTTGTCATTTGTTTATACTTTCTATATAAACTCTTTTGTTACTATTCATAGGATTTTTTTGTGATAAGTAATTTGAAAAAAACATAGGACAAAATTTGGCGTATTATAAATATCTAAAATAAATTCTGAAATAAAGAAATCTATAGTATCATGAGTAAACTCAATATCTTCTACATATAGTAAATTAATTTTTCAATTTACATAGCAATCAAAAACAATTTAACTCATAGTTAAAATTTGTTTTACGTATGAAACTCCAAGTTACACAAAATCTACCTTACTTCACGATTACCTAATTCAAAGCTTAAGAACAAATAAAAAATACCTGATGAGATTTAGCACTATATAATGAAAGCAATCACAATACTGCGTTTGTTTCGCATAACGAAACGGCATCACTCATTACGCATACCACCGCAACAATACTTTTTGTGCCCGTCTCAAGCTATCCTTTGATTCCTCAAGAAAACAACAAAATTGATATTCAAAAAATTATAGAAACAAAGGATGCTGCTAAGCAAATAATTCTGCGATTATTCTTCTCATTTTTCATGACGACATTTACAAGAGAATCTAAATACCTACTACATACATATAGTACCACTATTATTTTCATTGTAAAATGATCTTTTAGTATTGATAAATGATAAAAAAACACTGGTGAATCGAGAAAGGTAGAGGAGAATATTATGCAGTTAATGTGGTGCATTGTGAAGCCAAGAAAAACAGTTGGATTTTGTTAGAAATGATGACAAGGAAAAAAAACAATTGCTGTGATGAGTTAAAAGGAAATTGCTGATGAAAATGGGCTATATTACTGGAAGAAGAGTAAGAGTAGACTTATCATGGAACTCTGATAGAGAAATATGGTTGCAAGTGATTTTTTTGGCGGTCAGAAGTGCTTTGAGATGGTTTGACAAATCTGCAACAACAAATGTTGGCTTTTCTTCTCACTGCTGCTCTGTCCACTTTCTATCGTTTTTTCTTGAATCCTTGTGGCGTGTTCCTCCCTTCTGTGATTCACAAATAGCCGCAATTTTTACCTATATTCGTTTCATTTTATTTTTTATCATTCACTCGATATGTCACTGAGAGCACGTCAGACTACGTGAACAAACTGAATGTGCAGTAGCATTAAATGTGCAACTCTTTTCAACAGATCATGTCAGCGAACGTTATTTTTTTATGTGTTTCAAGCTTGTATGTATCTTTTTCTTCCGTTTACTTTGTTTAATCTTATCAAACATGTTATACTTTCCTAAACATTTATAGATTAAAAACTATGGAAAAAATACCTTCAATGATAATCTTAACATAGTTAATCATGAATTTCTGTCAGATCCAAGAAAATATACTATTAAACCATTTTAGTTTGTTAATAACATGCAAAGTGCTTGCAAATATAAGGAAATGATGCACTTCCTGCATTAACACATGCAATTATGTGTTTAACATTTAAAACATATCTTCATCAATATTATTTCAACTTGTGTAGCAAATTTATCTATCTCTAATTATTTTATTAACCAATTACAGCATACTAGCAGGTTGTATGAGTCTCTAAACAAGTTCAGACAGTAATATGTAGCAACAGTTTTTTAAATTAATATGTTTATAAAGTTCAGGATGATAGTAAATAAAAAGACAGATTTATTGTTATGATGGACTCACAAGATATATTTTTAGTAACTTTTATAGTTATTGTACGCATAAGGACGTTTACGAGAAACTTCACACTTGAAAAAATTGGTAATGCCGTTGTGAAGAACAGAGAGTGATGTCAACAAAAGGGCATCTACTTAATGACGCTATCATTTCCCTCCCTAAGCAGACCTCCCAAGAGATGTTCTTGTTCCTTAGAGAAGAAGCGGAAAAGTCATGCAAACAATTACAACTTACGAGAATACCTATGTAACAGTTGCGCATATCACATTACTTTTAACTTCCATCTTGATAAATTGAGAGTGATGCATCCATAAGTAATAATAATTAAATCACTGTTATTTGTGTAAGGAATTCTTGTGTAAGTATGAGTAAACGCCAAATCTTATTCGTAAGTAAAAGAAATAATGCATAAATTTGTAAACTGTGTACTTGCTCAGATTTTGGACAAAGCTGTGATGAGTAAATGCAGAAAAATTCCATAGCTTGTAAAAAGATAATTTATGCTACTTTTGTAATACTATTAAATTTGCAGAACACACTGTACGGTCTACCATCTAACACGAAAAAATGCATGCCATTTCCGACTAGAATTTCACTTCATTTGGATAATCAGATCAAAAGTTTTTAAACACAGTGCACAATACTTTCGATATTAAATAATTGTAAATTTGCAGTACAAAAAGTCATCGCATTTTTATTGCTTGTTTTGTCCTCTATACCAAATATTGCTCGATAATGAAGAGATAAGTCCTTTTGACAATAAGCGTGTAGAAATTTATGTTCACATTTTGATACGACAAGAAATAAATTTCTTGATTGTAAGGACTGAAAGTTGTTATTTAGTTTTGTATATGCCTAGAATTTCATCAACAGATTTGTCTATTTTCTTTTTAGTTCAGAACAAAAACATTTCTGTTTTATTCTAATTTTGTCACAAATAATTTTTGTAATACTATCATCAATTTATTATTTCATGCATAATTTCAGTATGCTCAAACATGAACTGCATAACTTTGTGATATTACTGACTAAAGTTAATTTAAGTAAGATAAATGCTCAAAACGTCTTGCTGTTTTGTGCTAACAGTTACCATTGTACCTATAATATGATAGCGTTGGTGATATTAATTACTATTATTTTAAGAACAGTGATACAAGAGAGAGTAAAAAAAGAGATGAGAGAGTTGAAAGGTTACGTAACTAACAATAGAAATAGCTATAAATTAGTTGCGAGACAAATAATAAATGTTGCCGATAACATAAGCAAGAGTAACAATTGCTTAGGCGCCAATGCAACCCAGCAAGCCATTCATATACAATTTAGCCACATATAAGAGAAGAATCAAACGTAAGGCAAAGTAATGCAAAACAGAAATGAAACGCCTTTATTACTTCTGTCTCTGTTACACCAATTCCTAAAAAAAATGCATATCTTTATTAGCAATCATAATTCTGCCTTTCACAGCAACTACTAGCTGACATTAGCAACATAAACGTCTTCATCATCTCATTGTACACCAGAAATGATAAAACGAAAAACAAAGCATCAAGTTTGATTATAGAGCTTTCAGGATTTTATTACTACTGTATTATGATTAATATTATTACGCATACTGCACGTAAGAGCATAGACAGTAAGCAGTAGACACTGAAATGAGAGGGTAATGAAATAGATCTGAAGTAATCACCACGAGATTATACAGCTAGGGTAAAGATGAGGGAGTTGAGCAAATTTGAAGGCACAATCGTGAATCCAGTCTGATTCAAAAGCAAAAAAAAGAAGTATATTACGAATAAAATGTGATCTCTTCATTTAAAATGTCATCTACATCTATATGCGCTCAACATTTAATAATCTAAAAGTTTTTAAAAAACCATTGGGATGCCTTAATTATACAGGTATTTCAGCAAAAATGAGGAAACACTTCATAAGTCTTCGCGGTATCTTTTCCACAGTAGATAATCCACAGTGTAGAATCTTTTATTTCATGTCTGCAGTCATAGAATATTCTGGATACTGTTTTGCCAAGTAAAATGTTTTAGATTGCGTGAAAGGAAAACTTGTAAAAATGAGCTAAATTTTTAAAAAATTTTGATAGTTTACATTTGGTACAAATTTACTTAATTTATAAGTCAAGTCAGAGTTTCAATAAAAACAAAGTACTAAGGTGTCAAATAGATATGTTTTTGAATAAATTTAAAATGAGTGAGAAATTTTTTTAGAATCTGAATTACCTAATTAAACAACTACAATTCTTTTGATTCTTTCTGGAATAAGACAATAAAAGCCAATTTTGTTTCTTTATGATACTAGTTTAGCAATCTGTTTTCTTTGTGAACTGCCAGAATACTGAATATATTATATTTGAAATACCTACTCCTTAACATGATTCATTTCCTTTTGCATCTGTATTCTAGTAGTGATTTTAATATTTCCGTGGAATTGTCATTATCAAGAAAATGCAACATTTGAATTTAACCGCCAGGCATTATTTGCAGACATTAGCTGATGGTATTTTACGTTTGAGTAGCATAATAAAATTTCAAGATAATGAAAAAGAGACAAATGAATTATATCTTAGAATTATATCTTTGTCAGAACTTTACGAATAATTGTAAAAAGAAATGTAACAAAATAATCATAAGATTTTGAGAATAATTTTAAAGTTTTATAAAAGAGTTTTGTGATATTTCAAAAGATAATTTTTTAGAATTGTTTCCAAAGTTTTACTTCATGTCAAAATTTTTATTCCATACAAGCATTAATTATTTCAAACTTAATCCTCACTGGTGCAGTCTGACTTCGATTTAGTATAAATATGTATTTTGTTTTTTTCTCATAATAATCCATTCTGTCGATGAAATAGGTGATTTAACAAGTCTAGTAATCAATAATACACACTTGAGTTTAATTTCATTTATTTTGAAAACTCCATGATTACAAATCACATATATTTATAGTATACAAAAGTAAACAAGCGTAGGATCATATAATACAGTACTTTTTATTTGCGCATATTTCATTTTTATTTTTTGTTAACTTTTTTTTTAAACAAAAAAAAACGCATATTTTGCATGAAAAATGAATTTTTTCGAGTTTTTGACGTTTGTTTAACATTGGAAGTATTTTGTTGCAGCTTAAAACATCCATTCATTTACTTATGAATATATTCTATGAATAAACACGTGCAAATTTTGATAATAGAAAG